AAATTAACAAACGAATGACCAGAGACGTAACAATACCTTTTATATTGTTACGTCTCCGATCATTAGTTAATTTTTCCGTAAATTCGTTCCGACGAAACTTTAGCGACACAAGTCCTTTCTTAAATAAAACTAGTTTATTCTTTCCGAATACAACTTTACGATACACTTAATTTCAACAGTCGCTCTATAACCAACGCTATAACAACGAACGTCTCACGTGCTCAGTTCAACTACACACTCTCTGACTGCATTTAAATTACTCATTACCTACACATTGTCTTGTCACGTTGTGACCATCTTATATATATACCAGACTACCCCCAATCTAGTAATCTCCCAACAATTCACGAAGGTTCGAGAAGGAAGTGGCGTGACACTAGTCATGTCACCTCGCTGACGCAACAATATTTTTAGTGTATTTTATGTCCCCTACCCTTTCTCTATTATTTTTTTTTGTTCAGAAGTGTATTATTTTGAACACGTTCATGTATGCGATGTATAAAAGTAACAGAATATTATTTTACAATATTTTATAGCATTGCAGTGATATGCCACTGAATATGTATACGATGTCATAAACGATGAACTCAAAATGAGAAATTATCTTGAAATTTCTTATCATATGCTATGGTATTGTGTTACATACTTTCAGCCATGTAAAGGAAAAAAAAAAAAAAGAAGAAAAATCATGCTATAATGTTAGAGTATTCACATGTAGAGGTTGAGCCAATAGATAAACGTACTCTCATCAAATTATTAGTTCAAACAGATCCTAAAAGGTGTATCTGTGAGTTAAAGCTTTAACGTTTCAATGTATTCCATACATGATTACACAACATGTGACCTCTGCAACTTGTAATTCATCTCACTGAGCTGTTGATTAATGAGACATGGACCAGCCCAATTAAAATTGAAATTATTATACACAATTGGTGTGAAAGGCATAACCTGGCTCGAACATTTGTTTCAAAACTATATATTATAGTGTCTCTTTTGGCATATGGCTTCTTTACTAATCTGTTGATGTACAAACTCATGCATTTCAAATCAGCCAATACATATATTCGTGTGGACACTGTGGCACTTCTGCACTGGGTTGTGAACCATACATTAAATTTACAGAGGAACTGTACTTCTCATCCATTCATTAGAAGAATTAGTGAATATTCAGTCAATTGTTTTTCAGGTTTTCACACTATTATTTCAATTTGGTTTGCAAGTCTTGCAAGCATGTGCTTGATATTGTGGATTACCTTTTCTGCCAAACCATCAAGCTATAGACAATATGGCGATGTGTTGATTTTCACCACACCTAAGATTCTGTAGAATTCTATCATAAAAGCCTGGTGTAGTTTACTCATTGATCCACGTAGATTTCTTCAGGTGTTTCGAATCATATAATTTAATATTTAATCAACAAATCAGTGAAGGTCTGTGCTAAAATGCAAACCAATGTATAATCTTCAGCCCACAAGGTAAAATAACTGATAATGATTGACACATATGGTATATTTCCAGATATCATTAAGCACTCCTAAGAGTGACAAAATAGTTCTGCTGAATAACAGGAGATTCATCAAGATATTTATTTCAAAATAATTTTGCATCCTCTAACATTATTTACTAACATAATATAACATACAATTTAAGGACAACAAGGGACTGTTAGTCCATGGAGACTGTCCCATTTACTTAAAAACAAAACAAAAATTTGAGATCCAACACTGATCAATTAAATATTTATTGAGCCATTTCTAAATACCCCTTAAATTTACTGAAATGTATTAAATATAAGACATTAGTAGCCCTCCTTTGAACCCTTTACAAAAGTTCATTGTTCTACTTTAGGTACAGGAGCCCAAGACAACACTATACTCCAAATGACGCCTAACCAGTAATCTATACAGTGAAATAATAGCCTCTTTATACTTATGTTCAACCTTTCTGTAAATTCAACTCAAAATGCAATTTCCCCTACCTTTGGTAACAACTCGCTGCTTGGTTACGTAAGAGACTAATCTACTAAAACTGTTGCAATATCGTAGACACAAAATTATCTATTTATTGTGTTAATTTATTCGAAAACATAAAGACAGTTATTATTATATAAAATTCCTTATTTTCTATATTAGCTAAAATTTGTTGTTGATTTTTGTGTTTTCGTTTTATCATGTTAAGGAGTTTTGAATAAATAATGTTACAGACACAAAATGTCTTAAAGTATTTTTTTAAGGCTTCTTATTCTTTTTCTACTCGTTTGATAGGCGATTACAGAAAATCTACGAGATGAAGTGTTACACTTCACATCATAACGCTCAAATTAGAGAGAAATGGTTACAGTAGGTGTGGAGATGTGTAAAGTGGTCGTAGTTATGTGTTTAAAGGTTGCGTTTTTGTTTGAATTCTGCGATTTTCATTTCATATGGTAGCATGAGTTTATCAGTGGTGAGGATTTTGTTTAATATTAATAACATATTAATTTGAAATTGTTTTCTATGAGAGGCAGATAATAGATTATAAATACTAAAAATAAAATATCGAGTAACTTCACTCAGTAAGACTAAGACTTGAAAAGTTAAATACTAATAGTAATACTATAACACTAACAGTATAACTTCTAAGTATTATTATTAATAGTATTAGTAATTACTATAAACTAAAGTAGTAAGACTAAGTTAATGTATTATTACTAGTATTTAAATAGTATGTTGTGTACAAACTATCAGATGGTGTTTTAATAGGGGTTTTTGGCGATACTTAAATAAAGAAAATAAAAATAATACACACACCATTGGATTCCACAGTCACAAATTAGTAAATTTACACTGCAAGTTCAATTATGTAGTTAATAATTAATGAAAAATCGTACCAGTAAATCGACCTTTCACTCCATACGACCTTCCCATTAGAACAATGTTAACAAATGTGATTGATATCATATTATTGCTTTACCTGGTTACCTGATACTGTGTGTCACCCATGTCAAGGTAAGATATAATGTAGTCCCAATAAAGTCCATCAATTTGAAACTTGTACACGTGGATTCACATTGTATGGGTAAATGAAATGAAAATTGTCAGTAACCAAATGTTAATAGTGAAGTGTGAGCTTACCTATGTACCTATAAAAGTATGCAAGAGATTTTGTAATCTCATTGATTGTAAATTTGAAATACCATGATTGGCAGATATGTACCACTAGTAACTTCTATCCATTCTATGTCATGTCATGATGTAATTGTAGTTGTGTCAACTGAAAGTTTTCCTAGATTTTATTATCAGTGTATCTAGTGTTTTTTCTTAAACTATTGTAGCACATGTTCTTTCGCTTTAGCCACAACCATTCTTGAGGCTGGTGTGACATCACAGCCATGTAATTTTGCCTGGTAATGTGATTGCCATCTTTACAAAAGGGCAAACAATTCAAAGCGAGTACAACTGCAGGTACACAATTTATATAGTTCTACTGTATACATGTGTTACTGCTGTGCAGATTCTTCAATTATCATTCATATATTATTGTTTGATAGTCAAATTATCAATTGAAATATGTTACCAATATGTGGAGAAGTTGTCGGCTGAGGCATTAGCGAGATATTGAGTAAAGTTACAATTAATTGGGCTTGTTTCTTGTCCCTTCCAGTACCCTGCTGACTTGTGGATCAATGACTCAACAGAATGGCTCAGTGTGCAGTACCCAAATGTATACAGTTATCTTGTGTTAAAAAAATTGGAAGATAACATTTACATGATATAAAATGAGCTGAACACACATAATTATAGTCAGACTTTGACTCCCACACCTTTTCTTTTGCTTTCTGTAGTTGATAGCTTTCAGTCACAACACTTCTCTTCTTTTCAGTACCTTGTTTTTGTAGGAAAACATGCACTAAAAAGTAAACTACCAGGTTGAACTAATTTTTAAAACAATTATCAACAAATTGTCCTAAGACTATTCTAGGCTAGGAATAGAATCCCACAAATGTTTGCTTTATGATTACTATTAAGGCGAGCTGGAGGGCTAAGTATAAAATAGAAGGAAAGTTCAGGCCCTTTCAACTTGTTATTTGTGCAATTGAATACAAAACAACTCTTCACCATATTTGCAGGCTTGGGACAACAAAAGTTTGTCACAAACACAAATAGTCATTATGAATACGAGTAGACAGTGGGCAAGTGTACAGAATGAATGAAATTTCCTCTTAGTCACGCTATTTGTTTGCCTCTTCACCTCGGTTGCTAGGCGGACATTGCATTGTGGGAGGGCAAAGTTCCTGGACGTCCGACCTCAAGAATATGATGTAAAGCAAATTGTTGTCAGGACAACACGTATGTTTACACCCAGTGATATGATGTAAGGCAACTTGTTGCCAAGCCAATGTGTAGTCTGTTTACGTTTCCCGTTCATCATTTTCAGACATACTGTCGGTTCAAGTTGGGCAAATATATCTGTGTATCGATTTATGCATCATGTAATTTGCACCAAAAAGTTTATAGTATGGCTTTGTTTCTACAAATTCAATTTTAAAAGGTTTTAAGGTTTTGTTTATGTGAAGAGAGCTAGTGTTTGATGTATCACTGATTTTTATTGGTTCAGCCAATTTGAACAGATGACCTGTTTTTGGTTTTAAACATTTGCTCACTGCCAAATGGCAGAGGATGGGTTTAGAGAAAATCGCAATGTTCTTAGAGCTGATTTGCAACTAGTGGGAGTATGGTTGCCTTGAAATAAATCATGCAAATTCAGCATGTATCTGTACTGTAGATGTTTTCCATTTGATATTTAGTGTACAATTATTAGTGTTTTGTTTATGCGAGATTTATATATTTGCAACTGTGATTTTGCATTCACATATTTCCTTGGCCAAGAACTATATTTCTCTGGGACCCCCTAGTTTTAATTACTCCAATGTACAATGTTGTAGTAATTTGTAAAGTTTAACATAGTATATTCGATGACGAGGAACCCACTTTGAGACTAATAATGGCTGGAGACGGCTTGAATGGGTAATGAAGAAAAACT